AGTTTGGTAATTTCTCTTATGCTAAAGAAAAAGAATGACAGCCTACAGTTCTGATTTCCCTACCCACCCATTTCCCACAAACTACATTAATTCATAACTTGATGTTTCATTATCTGCCAAATTTTTATTCAGTTCAAAATCAAAAGAATATTTGGATATGATGCCTAGATTCTATTACAAGTTTATACTACAGGGCATAATTTCAAATGTTCAGAAGTGGGAGGGAATCAGAGATACAGATAGTCCATAAATTTTTTGTTTGCCTAGATAAACTCAACAAGTAAAGGTAATGCAACACCATTCAATCTCCAAATTTGTAAGAAAAAAAAGTTTTGTTTGGGTTTTTTTTTTTTTTTTTTGGTACCAGTGATTGAACCTAGGGGTGCTCCCCACTGAGTTATTTCCCCAGCCCATTTCATGGTTTTATTTTGAGACAAGGTCTTGCTGAAACTGGCATTAAACTTGCCATCTTCCTGCCCCTGCCTCCCCAGACACTGGGATAAGAGGCATGCACAACATAAAGCATAGTGATAGACTGTAGTGAAATCATTAATTTTGAGGCTAGACAATATCATCATAAAGATGCTCACATTACCTGCAGTGCCACATTAGCATTTCTTTTATTCTCAAACCACTGAAATTAAGTTTGCTAAAAGAAGTGAGGAACTGTACCTGATTGATACAAGAGCCTGCCTAAGAAAATATGAAGAGCAGATAAAATGAGATAGATTTTTTTTAATATTTATTTTTTAGTTGGACACATATCTTTATTTATTTATTTTTATGTGGTGCTGAGGATCAAACCCAGGGCCTCGCAAGTGCTAGGTGAGCACTCTACCACTGAGCCACAACTCTGGCCCCAAAATGAGATAGATTTTAAGAAAATATACAAAATTAGCTTTTTATTGAAACCTATACTTTATATAGGAGCAAGCATTATGATATGAGGAAAAATTTTACTTCCTAATGACCAAAACTTTAGGAGATGACGATGACCATAAAAAGAACAGGCAAACCTCCCTTTAAGAAAAGTTAATCAGGAACTTTGAAAGCATGTAAACTGGTAGTTACTTAGAATATAAAAACATTCACCTTTATTTGTAAGCAACTTTATTATACTTAACATTGAAGCCATAAAAATTCAAGCTGCATTAAACTTTTCCAAAGCAATGAATAACATGAGGTTCAATTGTAATGCTATCTAAGAAGTAGCTAGCTTTCTTTCCCTTGCTACTGCAGGCTGGCTCCAGCCCTTGGAGCAAGCACCAGGGAGGCCTAATACAACTCTTCTGGTGCCAGACTATCCTTAGGGCATATGGAGGGCACAGGCTGTCTTTCCCAAGAGTGGCCAACCAAAAGTAAAGCCATTGGCCAGCTATTCATGTGCCAGCTGGCATGGAACAAAGTGTCTGGTTCCTACCTCCAGCACAGAAGAGACTTAGCCAGCTGGCTTTCAAAGGACTGCGCTAGTTGGAGTGCTCACAACTTCTTTCAAACCATCTGGCATTCTTTTAAGAACCCTCAATTTACCCAACACTGTACTCTGAGGTCTGAAACGCTCAAATTATTTGAAGAGTCCCTACTACCTATCTAGAGAAGAAAAGAAAAAGGCAGGGTAATTGCTAAATTACTTCCAGAAACAATTTCTAAAACTAAAAATTATTCTCAATTTTAGCTTGTATATTATCTCTTAAAACATTCCCATGATTATTAAGCAAACTTCCAGAATAAAAATCAAGACAAAAAATTAGGGAATAAGATAAAGCAAACATTTTAACATGCATAAAAGCATCCCATAAGACTGACAGGACCTAGTTCTACTCTGAATTTTTATAGCCTGTCTGTATTTTTCATGTGACTCAAAGTAGACTATATTGTATTGCTACCTATATTTATCTTCCCAGCTAGCTAGTATCTGAAAATATCAGTGTCTTATAGTTACTTAAAAAAAATCTGTTTGATGACATATTGGGTGTTTTGAAAGTTTTAATAAATAGGGCCGGGGCTGTGGCACTTGCCTCACATGCGTGAGGCACTGGGTTTGAGCCTCGGCACCACATACAAAAAATAAAATAAAGATATCGTGCCCATCTACAATGAAAAAAATATTTAAAAAAGAAAGTTTAAGTAAATATAAAATAAGAAGAGTTAATGTGGAATAACATGAAGAAGGCCCTTCATCTCTGAGCAAGACAAATAAATAAAACAGGATATGGCTTGAAATAAAAAGTATTTTATCAAATGATCAAAATGATTTATCAAATGACCCAAACTGCTGGTAAGTGCTACAAGGTGCTCATTTGTCAACTGTAGATCATTGTATCCAACACAGGATAATCTGCAGCAGAGGCAAGGAATCAGGAAAAAAAACCAACAACATAAAACCAAAAAATAGCTGAGTCATATTCATAGCCAATATATGCTAAGAGACACAAGCATTCTGAACAAAAATATTAAAGAGTCTGGGTCATAACCAAATGTTATAAATTGGAGGAGGCTGCAATAATAATTGTTTTTCACTAAGTTCACTGCCATTCCAAGTATTGAATTTGTCATTTCACATGTTATCTCCTTTAACTCACAGAATAAGTACATGCAGGGGTACCATCATTATTTCCATCTTAGAGATGGAAAAACAGACGTTAACCTGCCCATAGTTACTTGTTAAAAAGTAAGAGCTGAATTCAACTCCAAGTAATCTGATGCTGGAATACTGGCAGAAAACTGCCAATACTAAACTATACATAGGAAAGAATTAAGTGGAACCTAGGGAAAAATTCAATCATGATATAGTACTTGTATAGTACTTACAATTTTTTCCAACTCTAAGTGCAGCAAAAAGCGGAAAATAAAAAACAAATGAAAATGTATTTTCTTATTAGAAAATTTCAAAAAGCAAGAGCTATTTTACTAGTTTAAAAATGTCAATTATACCTTTTTGCCCATATATTGAATAGGTACTTCTGTTAGCAGCTGTTCTAGGGAACATAATAGTAAACAGGACAGATGAAGTCCTTGCCTTCCTGGAGCTGACATTCCAGGGGCATAGGTGACAAAAAGATCAGTAAACAATAGATTTCAAAATGTGACAGGTACTATAAATGAGGTAGGAAGGAAATGTGCACATCTCATGTGAGACTTCAATTATGCAGGTAAACAGGAGGTGATTGATGGGAGGTGGGGAAAGTTATAATTTGTTATGTTTTTTAAAGATGAGCAACATGGGAGCATGTGGGTATGCTGACATGGATAGATCCCTGGAGAGTTGATGATGCATGGCTCAAATGTAGGAGTTAGGAATTATGAGGGGGTATGAGGTAAAGAAGGAATGAGGAGGAAGAGTATGAGATGGTACACATGTATGCAGATAACTTTGGAAAATATAATCTACTCCACAAGCCAGAGGAAAGAAAAAGAGCTATACCAAGATATATCAGGAAATGTTAGGAATGCCACAAATAAACTGATGACCCTAAAATCTTCTAGAATGGGAAAAAGGGATTAGGGATTAGAATGCTACTGAATTTCTCAATAGCAACACTGGAAGTTTACAATGGAACAATGCCTTCAAAGAGGGATATTAATTTTCAATCTACATTTCACCACTGAACTAGCCCCCCCCATCAAATGTGAGGGTAAGATGAAGACATTTCCAGATATGCAAATTCTAAATTCAGGAAGGAATTTCAGATTTTCTAAGTACCCTTTCTCAGGAAGCTACTAAGGAATGAGGAAGACACAGGATCACAGGGGAATGGCAAAGAGGATTCCCAAAATGATGACAAAGGGAAGTCCTAGGATGATGGCTATGCACTCTGAGAGCAAAACAATACAAACTGGAGTAGGAAAGGGAGGGCTCCAGCAGGACCAACCCCCAGGAAAATGAAGCGAAACCGCGAGATTACCTTTAAAAATACTGAAAAATAATCTGTTTTGTCATAGTTGGAGGAAGAATTAGTGACTGATACAAACACAACTAAGCAAATGAAAAACAAGATGTAATAATAGTACTCTACATGGTTCATCTGTGAATAATAGGCATAGTCATAGTCATAAAAATACTAAATACTGATGTAACTGGGAATCGTGAAGTACCAGTAAAGATGAAGGACAGTTACATGGAATAGCTAAATCTTCAATTTCCAAAGTAGAAGTCCATTTTTTCCCCCAAAGATTAAATAAAACAAGAAACAGTAGTATGAAAATTAAAAACAAAATAAATAAGGAATACCAAAAGTGACTGCTAAGAGTTGGCAGAGTTTGAACCACGTGAAATTGATGATTTTTAAGTAATTTCCCAGTCTAAAAAAAAAAGATTTTATCTGCTTCAAGCTAATATGTTACAATAAAATTACTGCTAATTTTAAAATAAAAATAATTATTAATAAAGGAAACTTAATAGAACAACATTTTACTTTCGTTAGCAGACATTGTTGGGAAGATTATGGATCCCAGTTTTGGAAAACTAAAAGTCATGGGGTGGGCTGGGGCTGTAGCTCAGTGGTGGAATGCTTGCCTCCATAGAGGCACTAGGTTCGATCCTCAGCACCATATAAAAATAACTAAATAAAAAAATAAAGATATTGTGTCCCTCTGCAACTAAAAATATTTTTTTAAAAGTCACCATGTATACAACTACACCATGCCTAATAATATTAGTATTCTAATGAATGTAAATAATATACTTTATTTTTTAATTTTTTTTGGTTGTTGATTGACCTTTATTTATTTACTTATATGTGGTGCTGGGAATCGAACCCAGTGCCTCACACATGCTAAACAAGCACTCTACCAACTGAGCCACACCCCCAGCCCCTGTAAATAATATACTTACTACTAAAACATTTAACATAATTTAGTCTACTTCAATGTTTTAGAAGTCACTGCAGAATTTTTCTTCACTTACCATACTTACAGAAACATTAGACTCTAGGTTAGTAAAGATTTTGATTAACAGAATGCTGAATAACAAGGTCAGGCTGTATTAGGATTCCTTTGTTGTGCTTGCTACAGCAGCACATATACTAAAACTGTGAATGATAAAGAGATTAGCATGAGCTCTGCACAAGGATGACATGCAAATTCAGGAATGGTTCCTTTGTTGATGTAAAAAATGGCTAAGTCACTCTTGCAAAATTAAAGTTCTATGAAATTGCAGTACAATACAAGACTATTACAGTGATAATCCGGTTATACTGTTTATCTAAAACTTCCCTTTATGGTTTATTTTAAAAGTACTTCTAAAAAATGTCTTATGCAGGCAATTTATAAATGTATTGGGGTTGCTTCAATATTAGTGACATAGTTTTTAAGTTAATTTACCCAAGCTAAATTCATTGATATTTAAATTTTATTTAAATAGAACATCAGAAAACCCAAACTTCTTTAACTAAAAAAGTCAACTTTTAATAATGTTAGCTCTTACAAAAAAATAATTTGAACTTGGTAGCATAAGAAAAGCATTTTACCAAGAATAACAGAGCTTGAACCAACCAGAGGAAAATTTCTCCTTCAATTTAAAAAGCAAAGGTTTTAAACAGAGGGAATATAAATAAACAGATGTTGTGAAGGTTGACATTTCATTTTGCATCCCAAACTACTAGGAACTAAAATACATATGATTCAAAAATAAATAATCTTAGGGCTGGTATTGTGGCTCAGTGGTAGAGCACTTGCCTAGCATGTGTGTGACACTGGGTTCCATTCTCAGCACCGCATATAAATAAAATAAATGTCCATTGACAACTAAAAAAATACTTTGCCAGGCATGGTGATGCATGCCTGTAATACTAGCAGCTGGGGAGGCTGAGGCAGGAGGTTCAAAGCCAGTTCAAAGCCAGCCTCAGCAAAAGCAAGGCTCTAAGCAATTCAGTGAGACCTTGTCTCTAAATAAAATACAAAATAGGGCTGGGGATGTGGCTCAGTGGTTGAGTCCTCCTGAGTTCAATTCCTGGTACCCCCCAAATAAATAAATAATCTTAGAACATTGAACATACCCAACTATTCATGCCATCCAATATAAATTCCTCTTAATTATTTTTTTTGGGGGGGGAGTACTAGGGATTGAACCCAGGAGTGCTTAACCATTGAGTCACATCCCTCGTTCACCCTTTTATAAATTTTTTAAATTTTTGAGACAAGGCCTCACTAAGTTGCTAAGGTGGTATCAAATTTGCATCCTCCTGCCTCAGCCTCCTGAGCCCCTGGGTTTATAGGCTGTGCCACTACACCTAGCTCCTAATTTTCTCTCTCTCTTTTTTTTTTACCTCCCCTATTTTGAATTAAAATGTCATAATAAAAAATATTTTGAAAGTGTGTTTTTGTAACTGAATTTACCTAATTTACCATCACTCCACAAAATTAGAAGGGTGGAAAAGAAACTGAAAATCATCCAACAAAACAAGTGTCTTCTAAGATTTAAATAATTTTTTTAAAAAAATAGCAAAGAATAGATGGTGGTATCACAATGGCCTCCTTTTAATTGGTCTACATTAACTATAACTCCTCATAACTTCACCAAGACAACAAAATCAGACAGGCAGTCCTATCCAGACAATATCTATGGGAACCTGCAGTGCTTCTTCCCTCTCTCTCTTTCTCTCTCTCTCTGGGGAAGAGGACAATGAAAAAAAGGTGTTCTGTTTTCCATTAGTCCTGTAAGAGGAGCCATTGAGCTGGGCTGCACAACCAGACAACAGAATACAGGAAAATTCAGATCAAAGGAAGGGCGCATGCCAGGGTAATATGCAATAAAAATCTTTGCCAAAGTATTAGGAATTAAAAAAAAAAAAAAAAGCAAGGAGGTGGAAAGAACCTGCTGGACCACCTTCTTAACACAGGGAGTCAGGAACGAAATCTGCCCATACTGGGGATTCCAGAAAACAGTGTCCTAGATATACTGGAGTATTCCTACAGACTTGTTCTCAAGTATAAAGACATTATCAATGAACTATAGCCAGATGAGTTGTCCGATGAGTCGGAGTATTCCCACGTACATATATATACTGCCATTAACTAACCTCCACAAAGCAAAGTATTCTATATTTACAGCTAGAAGAAAATAAACATGCATATTTTCAATTAACGAAAACCACCGGTTTTACAATAAGAAACCAAAAAACTGCTGTTTGAAAATAATACCGCAGAACTGGGGAAAGGTGTGAAGTTACTTTTTTTTCCTTCAATCCCCCTTACCCCCTTATGTCCTTTTTGATGATCTGATTCTCTCATTTCAGGGGTCTCTCTCTCACATACACCCCAGCAGGTCTCCGGAAACAAAGGAGGCTCCTCAAATCTCTGGCCTGTGGGAGCACACCTCCCCCCATGATGAGGCCACCATATGACTTCCATAATGAGTAAGCCAAGGAGAGAGGTCTCAACGCAGACCACTGCCATGCACACTGTGACAACCAGGCACGAGCCAAGCACCACAAAGAAGGCGGAGGAGAGGATCGGGACCAGGAAAACACTGCCACGCCGCGCCCCCCACGGAGCGTCCACACCGCCAGCACCTAGGCAGCCGTCCTCGACATCCTCCCCGTCGCCTCCCTGCTCGTTCCCGCCGCCTCCCACGCTCGGGGACCCGACGCCAGGGCTCTGGCCGGCAGGGCAAAAGGGGGGCCGCGAACCTGCCCTGGGTGACCTCCGGATGACAGCCCCACGCCGCCCTTTGTGCAGGATTCACCGCTCCCTGGCCCCGGCCCCGGGCCGCGCCGAACCCTTCTACGCGTTTCTCCCCGGCCTGAGGCAAATGTCTCAGCCCTCGGCCCCTTGCCCAGCCCGCCGAGGCGCCCCAGAGTGTGTAGGGAAGGCTGACGCGGGCCCGCGGTCTCCTCAGCATCCCGGACCCGCCCCGTCCCTCAAGACCCAGCTCGGGGGCGGCGGTCTCGGCGTCCCGGTCCTCGCTCGCTCACTTACTCGGGCGCGCCGGCTACTGCGGCGGCGGGCGTGCGGGACCGTCAGCGCCCGGCAGAGGGCTGCGGGTTGCGGGCGGCAACAGTCCGTCGGGAGCAGCGCGGCTGAGGTGGCGACTGCAGACTGCGCTCGGCGGCCCCCGGTGAGGGGCGGGCCCGGCGGGGGAGGGGCGCTCGCCGCGCCTCTCATTCATGCAGCGGGGGCGGGGTGAGGGACCCGGATGCCCGGGCAGTCCCCGCCTACCTCGCTGAGGGCCCTCGGCTTCAGCGTCGACAGTGCGCAAGCGCGCGGTTCCTTGACCAGGCCTGGTCCCGCCCTGCCGGCTGGCGTGGTCTAACCGCGAAACTGCGGGGATTTAGCCTGTCTTGCTGGAGAGTTTAGAATTTTGCTTGCGCTGGGAGCAATTTTAGACAGTGAAAGGTTGGAACACCATCTCTTTCGCCTAGGAGTCCTTGGGGACACAGGGATGTGCATGAAATGGGGTACCCTTAGTTTGATGGGGAGACGTGTACACCAATTCCCCCCTCCATCTGTCTTTGCAGGACACTGTGATGGATGCCACCTGGACTTTGCCCAGATAGTGGAGAGAAGTGTGTGCAAGAAACAGTGCATGTCTTTATTTAATTATGTCTTACCTATTGCTCTCAACCCCCAACTTCCAATCTAAAGGACAGGCAAGAAGTTGACCTGTTTTGGTGGGGGCTCAGCCTTTCTTGTAATACCAAGATCAAGGGTCTAATGCAGCTCCAAGGATCTCATGTCTTTAGCAGGCAGTGTGTTCTTGTTCCCAGTCCCTTTACTTTGCTGCTCCTCCGCTGGGAGCAAACAACAGGCCTCAAAACCTCTTCTGAAGCTTCTCAGCAGTGTGGGCACTGCAGCTCAGGACTTGCAAAAATGATTGCCCCTCTTCCTTAATCCCTATGTCCCTCTCTAAAGTTCTCCTTCCTTTCCCAACCCTCCTGGGTCCCTCATATAGACCACAAATAGCTTAGTAGCTTAACTTTAGGAAGCAAAATGTCATCATGGAAAATGCCTGCAGTCCTGTTCCTCCTGCTTTGGCAAACCATAAGCCTTCAAAACAAGGGGAAGTCAAGAGGAAACATCAGTGAACATCTCAAGAAATAGCCTGCTACTCACTGATCACAGTACCCCAAGGTGAGAGATGAGTACAGGCATGTGCTGGGGAAAGAGAGTAGCTCTTCCATCGGAGTTGCCTGTCCTGGGGTTTTGGACCCATATCTTCTCTGCCAATCAAGCCAGGACGCTGGGGGAAGGCTACCTACCTTGCTCTCAGTCACAGCAGTTACCAGGAGGGGGTTTTCAACTCAGTTTTCCTGATATTGATATTTGTCATTGTCTAAATCGGGTCTTCTCACCTGTCTCCTGAGTTCCTGCAGGCACCTCAATCCATTCCCATGCAAATCTAGTCTCATGATATGCAAATCTGCCTTTTTCTCTTTCCTGCTCCATCCAGCTCCTTAAACCTTATTTTCCAGCCATTTCCAGAATACCATCATGGTGTTTCACCATCAGTGACTTCATTTCCTGTTGATTTCTTTACAAGGAAAGCAACACTCATCTTGCTTTTTCCTCTAAAAATCCGCAGAAGATTTTTAGGACAGTGGAAATAACTCTGTATGATAGTATAATGGTGAATATAAGTCATTATACCTTTGAACAAACCTGTAGAATATATAGCACCAAGAGTAATTCAGCACCTAATGTAAACTATGGACTTTGGGTAATAATCAGTTGTAACAAATGTACCAGTCTGATGGAGGATGTTGATAACTGGGGAGGTTATGCATGTGTGGGGAGTATAGGGAAGTTCCTGCATCTTCCTCTCATTTTGCTGTGGACCTAAAACTGTTCTTTAAAAATTAAATATTAAGAATTCACTTTTTGGGAGGGTCTCCTTACTCCCTTCACGCATTGACATCCTTTCCTTTGAAATCCCCACCTGTGTCATTTACCCTTCTCTCTGGGCGCCAGGCACACTTTGAGGTCCCGCTTATTTTGCATATTTTGGCTCCCTCCAGAATATGGGTCCTTCAACATCAAGAGCAGTGTTTCCTTAGAACCAAGCATGTGACTGGTGCACAGTGGACATGCAATAGTTGTTGGTGGAGGCAATGTTCCCTGGCAGCCCAGGGAGGTTTCAAGTAGGAGAGAAATGCTGAGTTCCTTTTCTTCTCCTTTCTTATGGCTTCCCTCCCTAGGCCTGTGTTTGGAAACCAGTTTTCTTTGTTTATAAAGCTTGGCTAGTAATTGCTAGTCCAAACAGGCTACAGGGTAGAGGGTGGAGTGGCTCCAGCTTCATGACTTTTGTCCTTAGGAAAATTAGGTGTTAGAAAGAGAAAATTGCTTAGCAATGCACAAGGGTCAACTCACTGCTCTCCCCACTCTCAACCACTACCATTTCTCTAGAGAAAATACATGTGATGGAGGAGTACAGGGGCATCAAGGGAGGTCTGGGCTGTTCTTTCTTTGATCTCCTTTCCCTGGTACTTCTGGGAGAGGATTGGGAGCATCTTCTGAGAGCCCCCCAACAATAAATTGCATGTACCCAAATCCCCATCACAGCCTGTTTCTAGGGAACCTAAGATATATGTAGCTCTCTACACTTGATTAACAGTAAAGGTCTGAAAACTTATTGAAAAGCCTTGGGAGCAGGGGTCCAACTTATCAAAGCAGAGATTCACTGAAGGGAAGACAAGAGTAGTTGTTTATTGGAATCTCTAACACCAACATCCTTCGTTCTTTTCTTCTTGACTGGTTTCTAGAGAAGAGAGGCAAAGGGGAACTGTTAGTGATTTGGGAAGTAAGCAGAGAGGAAGTTGAGAAGCCCAGTATGTAGTGAGGAAATAGTCACTTAATACCCCTGTTTTCCACACAGTAACTTTGTCCTCAGTTATCTCTGTGCTTCCAGTCCAGGGGCCCTCTGTTTTACCCTCTCTAGAGACTAAATCTACAGTCCTCTGCCTGGTGAGGGAAGGCCTGCAGCTTGGAGAGTAGGAAACATGAACTAAGACTATTTTCCAATTACCTTTCACCCAGTTCTCCTGATTTTGGCTTGCTGTTCTAGAAGAACCAGAGACTGCCAATTCTTTTTTTTTTTTTTTTAATTTTAATTTTGCCATGAAAATAGGGCCATTCTTAGCTTTCCCTGGGTTTCAGCTTTCTTGGAACTTCTAAGTCAATTACCATACACCCCTCTGTTTTCTAGCTTCCAAAATTGTTTTGCTATTGTCTCTTCTGTTTTCTTTGTCCTCAAGAATCTGTATCTTTCTTTTTAAAATTCCCTTATAGTAGTTTTAGTGGGATTCTGGAGAAGCAAAAGTAGATTGTAGACTCAATTCACCCTCTTATCCTAGGGGAAAACCTTCAGTGTTATTTGGAAGACATGTCCTCCCAGTGTTAGCCTCAGATGACTGACCGGCAAGTGAGAAATGCCAAGTAATGGAGCTAAAGGCCTGGAATGGGAGTTCTGCCCCCACTGGAGGATCCTGCTCCAGCAAGACCAAATTTCTTTCCTTAGTCACTGCCTGAGCCCATCTCTGAGAACATAAAGAGCTGACTCCTTATTATGATCATTGTGGCTTGAATATGAGTTATCCCCCTAAAGCAGGAATGTCCAGAGGGGAATTGATTAGATTACGAGTGCTATAACCTAATCAGTAGATGAATCCATTTGATGGATTAATAATTTAATAATTATTGGGTGATAGCTGTAGGAAGGTGGGGTATGACTAGAGGAGGTGGGTCTCCAGAGGCATGTCATTGGGAATTTTATCTTATTCCCCTAGTTCCTCTGCTCTCTCTGCTTCTAAGCTGCCATGAACTGAGCAGCTTTCCTCTGTCACGTCCTTCACCTCCAGCCCAGAGCAATGGAAACAGCCATCATGGACTAAATCTCTGAAACCATGAGCCCAAGTAAATTTTTCTTTCTCTAAGTTGTTCTTGTCGGGTACTTTGGTCACAGAAATAAAAATCTGACTAACACAATCATGAAGGGTGAAAGGCAGAAAGCCAAGATAAGCATGGAAGCCTGCCTAGAGGGGATGCTGCAGCAGCTGGAGAACATTCTAGAAAGCCCACCTGTGTTTTCTTGTCTTATCTCTCTTCCCCGTCCTTGCTTTGAGATGAGAGGATGGTGGCTGAAAGCTACTTGGGTAGATTAGATAGGTTTAAATGAAGGAAGAAGAAAACCACCATAGTTTCTTTTCACTAAAATGAGTTGTGGGTTAAGTATCTCATTTTGCTTCTTTCTCTTTCAAGCTCAGACCTAAAAAACTTAGGAGAGAGAAAGGCAGTGGCACAGTTGGGGCAGAAATTGTGGTGATGGTGGCATTTAATGGTGAGGGCAACAGTTCCAGCTAGGAGATGTATAACCCATAGCTGGAGAAGCTGAGTCGGACAGCATGCTTGATTCCACAGATGGAACTGGAAAGTTCCCTGATGGTCTTCTATAAGTAATGGGAAGATTGAAGTCAGTGGATAAGTACTCTCAGTCCACTCCTTATCCAGGAGAACAATGCTGAGAGCTATTTCAGAAAGTTGTTTCCTTGGTTCCCTGATAGGATTAAGTCTCAATTATGGGCAACTGGGCAGTAACTTGCCCATCAATTCAATTTAGTATTATTGGTTTCTTTCCCTTCCATATCTTCTTCTCTCTACTTTTTCACTCCTATTTTCTAGGATCACCTCCTAAATAAATTGCCTACATCCAAATCCCTGCACCCAAGGGTCTACTCTTGAGAGAATCCACACTAAGACAAACATTCTCCAGTCTGAAAGTGAGTCTGAGTAGGTTGTACCATCTCTGGGAAATCGTGCCATTGCTCTTCTGTATCTGTGTCTGGTTCCAGCTAGGAAGCTCCCACACAGAATCCTGCACATACTTGTATTTTGGGAACTCTGAGTACTGTTTGGGTGATTGGGCCTGTATATGTACCAGAAAGGTAAGATAGCTTGTTGGTGGCTGGGGAAATAGAATCCCTGGCTCCCAGCCTCTTCACTGGCCTGAGGGTAGACACACAGCCATGCCCAAAGATGCCACACACATACAAATACTTTTTCTTCTCCCCTTTCTCAC